GAGGAGGAACACTACTAATACTACCAATACCATGATTGATAAGAATAGGAAGAGTAGAAAACGACGAAGATCAATATTAATAAGACTGATTTTTTAATGACAATACAAATAGTAATCATCGCGTGAGCAGTAATAATGCAACTTATATTTCTACTAACAAGACATATTCTATTACTATTACTACTACTACCACTACTACTACTACTATTATTACTACTATTACTACTACTACTACTACTACTAAGAATAAGAAGACGAATACGAACACAACGAAAACTAATGCTTATGCTACGACACATAAAGAGGAATTATAAGAATAAGGGGAGGGGTGGAGAGGGGGAGGAGAAGAAGAAGGAGGAGGAGGAGGAGGTGGTGGACAAAAACAGATAATGAGGAGGAGGAGGGAGATTCATAGGATGAAGGGGAATGATGATGATGATGATGACGATGATGATGCTGATGATGATGCTGATGCTGATGTTGATGCTGATGCTGATGCTTATGAGGATCAGGATGATGATGCTGATGATGATGATGATGCTGATGATGATGATGATGATGATGATGATGGTGGTGGTGGTGGGGGTGGTGGTAGTCTTGGTGATGATGCTGATGATGATGATGATGATGATGATGATGATGATGATAATGCTGATGATGATGATGATGCTGATGCTGATGCTGCTGCTGATGATTATGATGGTAATTGTAAGGAAGATGCTGCTGCTGATGGTGAGTATGATGGTGGTGATGATGATGCTGATGCTGCTGCTGATGATGAGGAGGAGGATGAGGGATGCGACAGGACATGATGAGGGAAATCACTGACGATGGCAGGGAGGATGAGACGTAGGGTTTTGGAGATATGTTGTTGTGGGAAGTTTTTTGGGGAATCTGAAGGCCATCTTAGAAATTCTCTTGGGGTCCCCGTGGGGCCTCTTGGGGCATTTCCGGGGACCTCTCGGGGCTCTTTTGGGGAGTTTTGGGGCCTTCTTGGGGCTCCTAGTGGGGGTCTGTGAGACCTCTTGGGTTAGTCTTGCCCCCAATGGTTGAGAGAGGGGGGGGGGTAACGGATTCAGCCCCCCCCGCTCGGAGGCTCAACAATGGCGATTTGGCGCCCTCTGGAACCACTCTTGGAGCACTCTTGGGTGTACGTTGGGCCCTCTTGGTGCCCTCTTGGGCCCTTCTTGGGGCTCTCTTGGGCCATCTTGGGGCCATCTTGGGCCCATCTTGGCGCCTCCCAAGCCCATCGGAAGCGAAACGGCGGGAAGGCACACCACATTGACTTTCCTTTGGTTTGGGAGCCATTTTGGCTTCATGGAGGCTGCCTTGGGGCGCTCGTAAGGCACTTGGAACCGTCAGGGGGCTGTCTTGGGGCGTCATGGAGGCATGTCGGAGGCTATCTTGAGCCATCTTCTGCTACCTTGAGCGATCTTGGAGGCCACCGTGGGCTCCCTGAGGCCATCTTAGAGCCATCTTGGGCCATCTTGGACGCTCCAATGGGTCGCCCCCCTCCCCCCTCCCAGGCCCACGGGGGGGGAGGGGGTAAGGGGAGGGGTCAAAAGTCTCCCTCCCCGCCCGCACGTCGTCTCGCTCACTCCCACCCGCCCTCCCAACACATACGTAGCACCAGCCTGGCCCGAGCCGCAGCATATGCAGCAGTCGTCTTTGGATGGGCAGCTACTGGGGGCGCATCCGCCTCCGCCGCCGCCGCCTCCGCCGCCGCCGCCGCCCGCCGCCGCCGCTGCCGCGCCGCCGCCGCCGCCACCGCTGCCGCTGTCCACCGCCGCCGCCGCCGCCGCCGCCACCCGTTGCCGAATCGCCACCGCCGCAGCCGCCGCCGCCGCAGTCGCTGCCGCCAACGCTGCCGCCGCCGCCGCCGCCGCCGTCGCCGCCCCCGCCGCCGCCGCCGCCACCGCCGCAGCCGCAGCAGCCGCTGCCCCCGCCGCAGCCGCCGCAGCCGCCGCCGGTAAGTGTACTCTATATTGTTTTGTTGACAGGGATGGTGGGGGGGGGGAGGCCGCATCGGGTTCGCTGCGCATACTCCGAATTTGGAGGCGGAGTGTGTGTTTGTATGTTTTGTGCAAGGGATGGTGGGAACAAAGTGTGTTTTGTATGTTGCTTTGTGTATAAAGGATGGTGGTGGGGGGGCCGTCATGGACCTGGTTTGGCTCCCATTGGCCTGGGGGAGGGGGTGTATATTAATAGGGCAGTGATGAACCCCTCCCCCGAGCAGGGGAAGGACGGATTTTTGCCGGAGGCACAACTCCTAAGCGCCCATAAGTTTGTCATCGCAACTCTGCAACGCTTCTGCCCGCGCGCACTTGCTGAGATCATAGGCGAACCGATCGTTTTGGCAATTTCGTCCAGAGCCCGCAATATCGTCTCACCACGTGGTGCATCCGCGCTGGTCTAGCCACGTGTTTTTGCAACAACAAATATGCGAGGGTTCTTGGATTTCCGCGCGCGCACTTCCTCACCATGACCCTCATCAGCGCCAGCGCAACACGCCATCGTCATTGCCAGCTCGCCACAATTGCCGCCATCTCCATGCAATCGCCTTCACCATCGACACATGGACATCATCGTCATCGGCGTTACCAGCATCGGCACCGTCATTGGCATTGCCGTCGTCATAGTCACCACCGCCACCACCATCGCTACTACCATTATCGTCGCCCGCCCGGGCCACCGACCCACATTTAAGTGCCCGCGCGCCGCGGCCTTTGACATGCGCTGGGACGTTGCCATCGGTCGGCGCCATCGCGGCCGCATCGGTTGTGCCAGACCAGCTGGCCGCACTTCGCGCGCGCTTGCGCGAGCCAGCGCGACCGCAAAGATGCGCCAGCCATGGCCAAGCAGCCATGGCAATCGCCGCCGTCTGGGTTTTGCAAATCAAGTCCTGGGTAAGAGGGTGGGGTGTGTGCGAGCTGTGGGGTATGACAATTTTTTACATGCAACGGTTAATCGCTCATCCTCGAGTTTCCTGGCTGATCGGAGAATCGACTACCCCCCGTGTTTATCGCCACCCAGGGGCATTGCAGATGAGCCACCATTCTGCCTCATCATTTTTCGCATATGAATTCCTGCTATCCCAGGGAGTACGTTACCGACCCCCTTCATCCATGTGGAACACTACTATGCGGACGCACCTGTTTGTAAACATCAGCGGCCAATAATGTTTTGAAACGTACGTGACGACGTCCACACGCGCGCGTCGCCGCGCGTGCATGTCGAAATCCGTCCAACAGCGCTAGGCTTGGTACGGGCGTCTAACTCGAGGATGTCGAGCACCAATGAAAACCAATTGTGTTGAACATTTTCTGTCATTCCAATCTGAACGCGCGCGCCCATGCGAGTTCTCAGGGAACATCCTGTTGTTCCCGAACATTGTTACCACGCAGGCCTCCCAGGCGCGCATGTCGAAATCGTTCGAACTCATTGCGCGTTTGCTTGGGAGCGGATCCCTGTTAGTCAATATACCATGTCGGCCACGCGCGCGCGTCAGCCGCGCGCGCATGCTTACATTATTTCAACACTTCCATCCTCGACGCATGCACACCATCACCGTCGTCGGCGTTACCAGCATCGGCACCGTTTTTGGCCTTGCCGTCGTCATTGCCATCACCATCGCAACCATCGCTACTATCATCACCGTTGCCGCTTTTGTCTGCGTGTGAAACCGCACCCGCCCGAACCACCGATCCCCTGTGAAGTGCCCGCGCGCCAGCGTGGCCTTCGACACGCGCTGGGAAGTTCCAGTCGGTTTCTCGCGGCCGCATCGGCTGCGCCAAGCCAGTTGGCTGCTGTGCACGCGAGCTTGCGCTCGCCAGCACGGCCGCAGAGATGCGCCAACCATGGCCGAGCAGTCGGTGCAATTGCCGCCGCAACGGGCTTTGCAAACCAAGTTGCGTGTTGGAGGGTGGGGTGATTGCGCGAGCAGTGGGGTTGACAATTCCAAGTTCTGCAAGGTGGGTTCTCCTTCCCAGACTGATTAGATTCTGCGGCCCTGCTGTTTTTTATCGCCGCCAGGGGCGCTGCAAATTACGCATGGCCTAACCCCACCGCTCATTTTTTATATGAGTTCACACCATCCCAGGGAGTACCGTAATCCCCCCCCCCGCCATCCCTGCCAAATAGTACTATTCGCGTGCACCTGTTTCAAAGAAGCATGTACCAATCTTCCCTTGCAACATAAGACAATATCCACACGCGCGCGTCGTCGCGCGCGCATGTCGACTTCCGTTCGAAACCGTACGTTTCGTACCGATTTCTAAATCGAGGTTCTTGAACATATTTGGAAGGCCATTGGGTCTGAGTCTGCTATACTTTCTGCCGCCGTACTCATCCCTATTGTACGGTATTGTGTGGTCATGTGCTCGAATGTTTATTTGTGTATGTATGTATATTGATACAATTATAGATGCACAAATGCATGCCACAAACACGCACTTGTACCTTGCTCGACAACTTCTTGCTCACTCTTCTGAGCTTTTCCCTTGCGTGTGGTTTGCGCGAGGTCGATTTGCTAGCCCTTCCTTTGTCGGCGACAGCTTGGAAAATTGAGGTTTGGATCCTCGCTGGACATTGCAGCAGACAGGGCTGCTGTCTCCTGGTGCGCCGCTGGGGACAAGATTGCGCCGGGAAATAACCCGTGTTGCCAGGAATAGGTGGAACACCTCCCTTTCTTTATCTTTCCCCCTTCCCCGCCATTTTTCTTTACGCCTATATCACCGGCCCCCAGCCCCCGTCCCCACGCCAGTTTCTTTACGCCTATATCACCGGCCCCCAGCCGCCATCCCCATGCCGTGAGTGCCGAGATGTGCGCACATGTCTTTTGGAGCTGCGGTGGTTCACCCAGAGGCTCCCCTGGCCTTGACGGCCCATGTAAGAACATCCAGACCTCTGGGCATCTTGGCATGATTAGCTGCAGCATTTCGAGTTTCCCCGTTCCTACCTTGCTTCCTCTTCGGCCACCCTTGGACATTCAGCTGCCAAAGGACCCTGGAGTCCTGAGCACGCAGTACCTCACGGACTGCATGACCAAGACGAGCTGTAAGGGCTCCGTGAACGGATGCTGCGGGGGCAACCCGGGCGAAGCCATGACTTGGCTCATGACAGAAGGGGGAGGACAAATATGATGAGGATCAGAGCGGAGCCACTGGGGCCCCCTGGGCCCCGAGAGGGTTGCTCTGGAGGCCGCGGGGGCCTCCTTGGACATCCTGGGGAAACCCTGGGCCAGGGACACTGCTGGCACATCACACGAGCCTGGGTCTCCGGACGGCCGGCCAGGAAGCAGGGCGGCATACCGACGCAGGAGGCCTACGGGGACGTGTATTCGTCCGAGCAGGATGCGGCCAGCAATGCGGATCCCTCGTCTGGCTCGGCCGCGGGCCCAGTCTCGGAGGACGGCAATGGCATCACGTACAGCGGTAACTCGCCAGACAAGTCTTTCCCGTGCAAGTCGGGGATCCCCGCGGCCGTGCAGCTGGAGGGCGGGCCAACCGTACTCAAGACCGAAGCCGACATGGAGTCCTTTGTCTGCGAGACGGGGTCCCTGTCAATTTTGGTGGATGCCTCCGCGTGGCAGACGTATCAATCGGGCGTGATGGACGCGAGCTCGTGCGGCACGAAAATCGACCACGCGGTGCTGCTGATAGGGGTGAACCAGGTTCGGATGCAACTCCTGGGAGGTCAAATTCTGATTGTGCCCTGGTCCGAAATCCTGCGTAATCCGGCTAAATCTCGCTTAATCCAGCTTAATCCCGCTTAATCCGTTTTAGTCCCGCTTGATCCGCGGCCTGATCCGCATAGCAGCCCCCCAATGGTGCTTAATTCCCCTTAACCTTCCGACGACGACCTCCCAGTAGTTGCCTCCTAAACCAGGGAGAGAATGCCTGGCTGGTCCAGAACTCCTGGGGGGTGGACTGGGGCATCAGCACGTCTGGGCAGCAGGCGCCCACGGACGCGTACTCCAACTGCGCGCAGCTTGCTGGCACGGACCAGCGCGGCTGCAAGGATCGGGAGCCTTGAGACGGGGGTCACTGCAAATGAGGGTCAGCCAGAGCGTTCAGGATCCTGCAGGGCCAGGGTCGCATCGACCCGGGTTTGGTTGCAGGATCCTGCAGGATCTTGCTGGATCCTTCGCATTGGCCCGTGTTTGGGTGCAGGATCTTTCAGGATCTTGCAGGATTCTACAAGGCCTGACTTACCCCGGTCTGGATTGACCCGGGTGAGAAGATCCCCGAAAGGACAAGCTCCAGGGTGGCGGGACTGTGGCACAGTCTTGTTCGGCTTCCTGCGGGGATACCTCCAGCAGTGGAGGCTACATCTGGCTGCAGTTCGGGGCAAACACCTGCGACATCACCTACGAAGCGGTGCAGGTCCCCACCCTGAAGGCTGTCTGAAGCTCGGCGTCCCTCTTGCCAGTCTCGGGCAGCGTCGGCACCCTTCTTCTCGCCCTCTCCCTCCTCTTGAAGTTGCCCGCCCGTCTTCAGCGCGGGCAATGCATCGCCGCTGCTTTAGAGCTTTCTTCGTTATCCAGCTGCTTGCGGCAAGTCTCACCACCGTGTCAGCGCAGCACTCTGTGTGGTGACGCTTCGAGCACCCCCAAGAAGGCCGCAACACGTGACGCCTCTCGTCTCTATTCCTTGAGGGGCTCTCTTGTGGGCTACCTGGGCCCCCTTAGGGCCCTCCTTGGGCTGTCCAGGGGCACTCTCTGGCCGTCTTGGTGCCGTCTTGGGCCGTCTTGGACCTCCCTCGGCGGTCTGTGGAATCTCTTGGGGCTGTCCTGGGAGCCTCTTGGGGCCCTCTTGGGCTGTCCTGGAGCCTGTCCCGAGCCGTCTTGGGGCCATCTCGAGGCTGTCCTGGATTCTCACGGGGCTCAATTCGGGCCCCCATGGGCTCTTTTGGCCTCGCCTCAGCTCCGAGACCCTCTTTGGACCATCTTGAGCCGATAACCCCCAGGAAATACCACGCAAAAACACTCATTTGCAATTCAACTGTTATTGATTGATTTTGGCCTTCCTGGAGGGCCTCTTGGCCTTCTCTGTTTGGTGTCTTGGCAGCGTCTTGGGACCGCTCTGGCGCTTTCGAAAGTTTTCTTGCAGGTAGTCGGGTTCCATTTGAGACAGTCTTGGGCCATCTTGGCTGCCTTCTGGCCTTCCAAGGTAGTCTGGGAGGCCCTGGAGCCCCTGGAGAGCTCATGGGTGTCAGGGCTTCCTTCGGAGGGAGGCGGAGAGGATGCCTGCAAGCAGGCGTTACCGGGTGAGGGTTGGGGGGGCCCTCAGAAAATTCACAGAGGCCCTACCAAACAGCACCTGCCACCCTGCCACGCCTCATCCGCGCCAGGGGGCACGGCGGCGGGTAGCCGGTGGCCGGCCAAAGATCTTAGGGCTTGCTCTGGGGAGTTTTGAGATGGGGGTCAATACACACGGGGGTCAGCCAGAGCGCCAGATCTTGCAGGATCTTGCAGAACCAGGGCTGCACTGACCCGGGTTAGGGCGCAGGGTCCTGCAGGATCTTGCAGGATCTTGCAGGTTCCTGCAAGGGCTGGCTGACCCGGGTTTGCACTGACCCTGGTCAAGTGCGCCCCCGATCTCTGCCTCCTGCTCCGTCGGCAGCCGGAGCGGCCTGGCCGCGGGCGCGGTGGCGGTGGCAGCAGCGCGCCTGGCCGCCGCGCCTGCGCGCGCCGTTTGGGCGCCCGCGCCGCCATCGTTTTTTGCCTTTGACGCTCCGCGGGGTCCGTCGAGGGCGGAGGAGGTGCCGATGCCGCTGCTCGTCCTGGAGGTCCCTCGTTCAGTAAGCCTTTTCGGAAGCTCTTTAACATGCAGATTAAGCTTCTTGCATGTTTGTGCACGCTGCAGGCCACCAAAGGCCGCTACAGGCCACCGAAGGCTGTTAAAGGCCGCTAAAGGCCGTCAACAGGCCGCGAAAAGGCCACTCAAGGCCACTAAAGGCCGCCAATATTACACTAAAGGCCACTAAAGTCTACTACACCGAGGCGGTGTATGTTAGACTGAGGTTCCAACAAGACTCGCACAGCCCTCGTCGCAGGAGCTGGATGCTTCTCGGGGTCCTGGTCAGAACGCGCCTCCAGAGAGGCCTGGGGAATGGCCCTGGGCCTCCCAGGTGGGGTCTGAGCAGGTGGGATCGGAGGATCGCGCCCCGTCGCCAATGCATCGGCGATGCGGCTCGATGTGGGACCCGATTCTCTCCACGCCGACGTCGCTGATGCGTCGCCGACGTCGCCGATGCATCGCCGATGCGTTGACGGTGCATCGACGATGCAGCGCGATCCTCCGACCCCATCTGCAGTCGGACCGAGGTATAAGATCGAGGTCGGGTCGGGGAGGGCACCTTAATGTTCTTCGTGCTTGTTGGATGTTCTTGTGCATCCTGGCGGAGGGCACCCTCGAGCGATCTTATGGCTTGGGGCGTTTTGGCCGACGGAGGGTCTCACATTCTTGGAAGGATGTTCTTCTGTCCTAGGTCCGACCGTACGGCAGGTTCGCGTCGTGTCGACCGGCGGCGACCCCAGCGCGGGCGTTTAAGGTTGAACGCCGCCTGTGGCCCAGAATCGGCCCATCCTTGAACGATTCGGCCTTCTTGAAAAGGCCGATCGTTCAATTTTGAACGATCCCCGCGGTGTCAGGAACCAACGCCAGGGTCGACACGACGCGAACCTGCCGTACTCCGATCCCATGTTGGAAGAGACCTGTCGTGGCGGCATAGGCACCTACTTCTGCTCCCCCCGGGGGCTGCGAGGGCGTGCCCATGCTGAGGCGCTCTCCCCCTCCTGGGAGAGGCAGGGCGAGGGGGCCAGAGGAGGCCCATACCCCCGACGTCGTGTTTTTTTTGTTTGTTGTTCTCGCAACGTCGACCCCCACAGGTCTGGACCTCCTTTCCCAGGACCGGTTGTTCGTCCTGAGTCGCTTTTGAACGGCCCCGGGGCCTGGCGAGGGCCCCCCGGGGAGGCCGAAAGGAACGGCACGCTCCCCGTCGTGCTTATTCTCGCAGCGCGGGGGTGTCTCGGGGGGGGGGGCGGGCAGGGCTTCCACCACCCGTCCACCAGCGCCTGCTCCGGGCTGGCCCATCCCCTGGGCCCGGCCAGAGCCGGTGCGGGTGGCAGCCTACGCTCCCCCCAGGGGGCGCAAGGCACGGGCATGCCCTCTGTGCTCCCAGAGCCGCTGCAGGGCTTCGGGCCTCCCAGATGGGGTCGGAGCTGATGGGATCCTCGGTGCGGCTCGATGCGGAGCCTGATTTTCTTCACGTCGACGTCGCCGATGCATCGCCGACGTCGCCGATGCATCGCAGGTGGATGAATCGCCGATGTACTGCCGATGCGGCGCGATCCTCCGACCGCATCTACTCCGACCCCTTCCAGGAGGCCTCTCAGGGCCCAATGGCCTCTTTGCCTGGCAGCGGCCCACCTGACAGGGAGCCGAGCCTGGCTGGGTGTCTCTGGGAGCGAGACGACCCACAATCGTTATCGCCATCGCCATCGCCATCGAGATCGGGCCCCTCTGCTCCGACGTCCGTGGCCCGGTGAGCAAGACATGGTGGCCACGTTCAGCGTCCCATCCCCACCCAGGAGTGTTCTCAGAGCCGTTTGCTCCTGCATCCTAGGGGGGTAACTCTTCTGGGGATGGTCTCAGAGGTTCAGAGTTGTCATCATCTCTGTTCACCGAGCTCCCTTCCTAATCTGCACCTCTACATACTCGTCAGCGGCATCACGATCCCCACCCCCGCTGCCTGGCGACTCGGAACCGATCTGGAAAGCCAGAGTGCCATCGGACCACGGGGGCCTGGGGATGGGGCCACTCTTCGAGTTGTTGCTCTGAACGGCCTGTGGGTGGGGGCTTGGGTTCGGGCTCCGGTCGGCTGCTGCCCCTCGGTCTCTCTGCCCTTCCTCGCCGTGGAGAAAGGGGTCCCGAGGCCGTGAAGACAGGGGTCCCGAGGCCCCCCTGCGTTGTGTGTCCGCCGTGTTCTGTCTCCCGTGGCCCTCCCCGGTCCCCATGGGGGACGAGCAGCCGATCCCGGGTGGAGGCCTGGGGCCCCAGCCCGTTTTCCTTTGGGCCCCCTTCCCCTCGTGTCAACCCCTCTTTCCTCGATGATCCAGCACGCTCGCTATCTCAGCCTCGAGGAGGAGGGGCTCTCGTGGTTGGGGATTTCGACGCTCATGCCGCATTTGGGCCGCGCGGCTCCTCCTCCTCCTCCTTCTCCTTCTCCTTCTCCTTCTCCTTCTCCTTCTCCTTCTCCTTCTCCTTCTCCTTCTCCTTCTCCTTCTCCTTCTTCTTCTCCTTCTCCTCCTCCTCCGCCTCCTCCTAAGTGGCTCGGTGGAGAGTGTACACTGCCTCTCGCCAAAGCGTCAGAGCACTGGTCCAGGGTGAAGCGTGCCTTGCGCCCGATGGAGAATATTCGGGTGGAGTCTATTCCCACCACAAGGGAATATGGCTGGTGGCTGGCAGGGCGTTCGTCAACAACAACAACTTCTCCTCCTCCTCCTCCTGCGTTTCTGCGTTTCTCGCGCCGAGCAGCGTCTCACGTGCTCCCAGAGCGCGCAACGCGCCACAGCAGCCCACGAGGGCCGTGCGGGCACTCGGACGGCGGCCCCTGGAACCCGACCTCGAGGAAGAGAAGGAGGGCCTGGGACCAACAGATACCTCAGAGCAGGGGAGGAGAGAGGCCAGGTGAAAAAAAAGAGCCCGCAAGGGCCCATGGTCGGGCGCCGCGCGCCCCCTCGCCCGCGGGCGTCAGGCAGCGCCCGCGGCGCGGCACTCGGCCTGGCCGTCGGCCTCCTCGTGGGCCGCGGGCCCGGCTGGCCGCTCGGCGGCGGCTGGGCTCCCCTCCGGCGCGGCGCGCGGGGCCCAGCCGCTGGGGGGCAGGCTGCCCCCCCTTCGGCTGGGCCCGGGTGTGCGGTCCCTGCTCCTGGCCACCTCTCCCCGGGCCCAGCCGGGGGGCGGGGAGGGGGGCTCTCCTGCCCACCCTTCCCCGGCTCCCCTCGAGTGGGGCCCGAGGTGTGTGGCCCCCGCTCCTGGCCGCCTGTCCCTCGAGCCCACTTCGGCCTGGCTGGCCCCTCGGAGACACCTGGGCTACCTTCGGCGCCGCGCGCCGAGCCCAGACGTCGAGGCAGGCTGCCCCCTGTGCTCGGGACTGGGTGTGCGGTCCTTGCTCCTGGCCACCTTTCCTCGGTCCTCTGCCAGGGCGGGGCTCCAGGCATGCGGTCCCTGCTCCTGACCACCTTTCCCTGGAGCTCCCGACTTCGCTGTCCTCCATCATTCTTGTGCCTGGGTGTGTGGCTCCTGCTCCTGACCACCTTTCCCCAGGTCCTCGCGCAGGCTCTTGCAGTGTGGACCCTGCTCCTGTCCACTCTTTCCAGCCATACTTGTGCGTGCCTCGAGGTGTGTGGTCCCTGCTCCTGACCACCTTTCCCTCGAGCTCCCGTCTTAACTTTGTCGTCGTTGCGCCGTGTCATTCTGCGTGGTCTCATGATCTTTGTGCTGTTCTGAGTGGTCGGGTTGAAGCTGTCGTGCGGCTGTGGTGTTGCACCACCTTTCTCGCACACTGTTGTACTGAGGTGCTTCGTTAGCGACCTTCGGCTTTGTTAGTCCGTCGGCACTGTCGGTCTTTGTGGTGGTGTGTTGGTGTGTGTGTGTGTGGGACCTTCATGGAGCCTTCATGGACCTTTGTTGTAGCTGTCCGCCATCAGGTCTGGGATGTGGTCCACGTTCGCGACTTGGGGTTTGACAACCTCCTCGAAATGCTCCCGTCTTCTGTGCGGGTAGGCGTGCAGGTCCCGACAAGTGGGATTCTCCATCCAGGCCCACTCCAGCTCTGTGCTGTACTCTATGAGGTCTACTGGGGCTCCGTTTGGCGGCTGTGGCGGCGGTTGTAGTGCTGCATGTTTAGCCATTCTGTCCGCCGCCTCGTTCCACGGTGCGTCTCTGTGGGCGTTGGTGTGCTCGAATTTTATCTTCTTGCTGTGGCTGAGCTGCTCGGCAAGGATCCTGACAAAACGTGCAAGCGCTCTATTCTTTTTGGATCGTATTCTTATGGTTCCTGCTGCTGCTCCCAAGGCCGCCGTGTTGTCGCCGACAATGATGATCTCCTCGCCGTCGTCTTCCAGAATGCTAGCGATGGCCGCCCATAGGATCGCTCCTAGCTCTGGACTTGTGCTGGATTTAATATTATCGGCCATGTCCTTACTGACCGACAGTGCGTGGTTCGAATATGTGTGTCGGTAGTAAGCAATGCCGTGCTCATCTTCTCGTAGGTGAACTACTGCCCACGCTGAGGTGCTTGGAGCGCTGGCGTGGTATGACGCATCGGTGAAGTAGTAGTGTCTCTTCACTGTCCCCACAGTTCTGCTTGGTGCCAGCTGCTCCAACGCCGTGCGGGTGTACTCATGTAGGTCATGACCCCCCAAGTCGTGGTGCCATTTCAGTGTGTGCACGTGCTGCTGGAGCTGTGTCGGTAGGAATGGTGGTCCCCGATGTGTGCGGTTCTCGTCTGCTGCTCGTTGGCTGTGGTCGGCTGGGTCGAGGTCGTCGTTCGTAGGTGCTTGTCAGGCCTCCTTCGCTTGCCTCTTCTCTTTTGCTTTACGTCGCACTGCTGGTAGTATTCGCAGTAGTCGCTGGCTTTGTCGGTTGTGATGTCTTATTTGGGTGCCTGGTTGTTGGAAGTCGCGCTTGCTCTCATTCTACGGAATGGGTGCATCGCTGCGCTCTTTTTGTGGTGGGCATGGTGATGCTCTTGTGCGGTGTTGTCGTGTTTTGTCGCATGGGCTGTGGCGTTAATGCATGCAACGCCAGAGCGTTTTGGTGGCTGTCTGAAGGGTAGCATGGCTGGTTGCGTCTTGTCGTGGCTCTGGGCGACGTCGTACTGTGTGTCGGTATGCCCATCGCCGTGTTTGGTCGTACCAGTTGTCATTGCTCCCGTGTTCCCACCGTCGCCGTTTTGGCCCGTGCGTCGTAGATAGAGGGTCGATCCCCATGGGTATTCGTTTGGGTTGTTTGTCGATGTTGTTGGCGTTGGTGTGTGCGTGTTTTGGTGCATGTGGTTGTCGGTGCCCTGGGATTGTGTCAGGGCTGCCGACATTGTAACAGTAGGGGCTGGGTGAGTTGGTGGTAGCTCCTCGTTAATGAGTGGTGCGAAGCGGTCAGCTGTGGGAATGACCGTTTTGGGCGCCAAAGTGGTTTCGGTTCAACCTTCGCGTCGCATTCGTCGTCAGTGTCGTGCTTGGCGTCGTCGTATTGCTGTAGATGCGGCGTCGTTGGGAGGTGGAGCACCTTTGTTGTTGTGCGGTTGGTAGTGTGGACTGTCTAGGAAGGTCTCTTCGATGTTGTCGATGCTACCGCCTGCAATCGGACCTCCAGTGGTGTGTCGCGGAGAGTGCTTGGTTGTGTGGGTCCGAGTCTGGGGATTGTCCGTCAAGTGCGCCGTTGTTTCGTCGCCTGGCTCGGTGCATGTGTGTGCAGTGAATTTGGCCGCCTCGGGTGGACGGATTTGCCCCATGTGGGGTGTAGAGGCAGGCTTGTGTTGTCCCGCCTCTGAGCCAACATGGCTGGTCGGATGCCTGGTTGCCGTTGGAGTAGGCCTCCCTGGAGTAGCTGTTGCCTCCTTCTGAGACTTGTTCCTCACTTGTATTGTGGGGTGCAGGCGTGGCTGTCATTCCCCTTCATGTTCGTTTTCTGGCTGCTCGCCGAGGTATCCCGTTTTCGTGGCGACTCTGGCTCTATGCTCCGCACCAAGTGTTGTGTGGTCTAGAGGCGAGAGGTCTTCCTGAGGTTGACTCCCAGATCGACTCAGCCTGATCGGTCGTTGTCGCTCATGCTGTCGGTTGGTGGGTCTGGCGAGCGGCGCCGCACGGGCCGCCGTCGCCTTCCGAAATGTGCCGCTGTCGTGCCCAGAGAGGTCCAGGGATGTTCTCCTTTGTCCCTCCGCGATGCTCGAGCGTCTGCCGCTGTTCGAGTAGCTTCCCCACTCTTGCTGTGTCGGGCTCGCTCTGCTTGGTTGGTGCTTGCTGGGTTTGGTGGCGCTGGCGGCCTGGAGGAGTCTCCCAGGTCCGCCTGCGGGCTTGGTGCTGCGCATGCCAGGCGAATCTATTACCCACTCTTGCTCAGGCGTCGTCCCGCAGCCTATTGTGCGGTCGTGTCGGCGTGGGTTGTTGGTAGCTGGGTTCCCTAGTGGAGCGGTACAGTTGGGAAGCGTGTGCGCGCTTGGTGAGTTAGGCTGCTTAGTGGAGCGGTTTTGCTGAGCCGCTGGTGTGCCATCCCCTCGACTATCACCAGTGTGGCGTGTGCTAGATCGGGTGATCCCATTGAATGCGTGTCGCTGTTTCTGTTCAGTCGTGGTCCGTATTGTGTGGGCTTCTGGCGTAGCCTCCTTACTGCACGAGTCTTGCCGGCTGGGCCAGTGGTGCCCTCTGTCTTCTGGTATGAGTGATGCTTCGCATGCCTGAGCCAGTTGCCCCTCAGGCAGCGGGTGCTTGATCAGTTT